ACAAACAAACAAACCAAAAGTCAGTAAAGAAACTAAAAAAAAAAAAAGCCGTTTTTGATGTAGATAATAATGTTATTTTGTTACAAACTATAATGAATGTGTATGGTCAAACAAAACTGAGTCTCAGTTGAGAACTAGAACTTATCAGGAGAAAGAAAAGGAAATGATGGAGATAAAAATATAACTAAAGCCTATTGTCAATTTGTAATAATATAACAAAGTAAGCAGAGATCAATAGTAAATTGAGAAATAACTACCGATAGGATTAGTATACTGGAAGAGAAGTACAGAGGAATATAGTACCTTAAATCAAGAGAAAAAAATAATTAAAATATATACAAAAGTATAAGAAACACTTGGCCACTAGTTTAGGAGTCATGAAAAGCCTAATATACTCATAAACTAGATTTCAGAAGTGGAATAGAGAGTGGCTACAGATAATGTCTCAAATAAGTGTTCCAAAACAAACAAACAAACAAACACCCCCAAAATGACAGTCTCAGGTACAAAAAGCACTACTTATCAAGCAACACATAAAAATCAATTGACTACTTAAAATGAAAGACAACCAGGTAATGTAAGAATCCTGTCAATAAAATGAAAGAATTAAAAGTCAAGAAGAGAAACAGGGAAGAGATGAAAGACTACAAATAGCCACTTAGGTTTATTTATCCTAAAGTCAATAATCACGGTAAATGTGGGTACCCAAAGATGTTCCACCACACAAGGAGCATGCCCAACTATGTTCTTAGTAGCTTTATTAGTAAGAGCCAGAAACAAGAAACAACCTAGATGTCCCTCAACTGAAAAGTGGATATAGAAATTGTGGCAAATTTGCACAATGGAATACTGCTCAGCTATTAAAAACAAGGAAATCATGGAATTTTCAGGCAAATGGATGGAACTAGAAAAGATTATCCTAAGTGAGATGATCAGACCCAGAAAGACACATATGGTATGTACTCACTTATAAGGAGATATTAAACGTATAGTATAGGATAACCATAGTACAATCCATAGACCCAAAGAAGCTAAGTAATAAGGACAGCCCAAGGGAGAGTGCCGAATGTCACTCAGAAAGGGAAATAGACTAGACAGCAGGAGTGGATGAAGTGAGGGAACTGGGCATGAGATGGAATGGGGAAAGAAACAAGGATGGAGATCAGATGTGGGGAGAAAGGGGGTGGGAGGTGATAGGGATGGGTACAAGAAGGGAAACTGTGGGGGGACATCTCTTTGTCAAGCTGGAGGCCTAAAACAGAGTAGGCTCCTGGGAGGATATGGGTGTGACTCTATCCTGAGACCCTGAGTCTCCTAACAGGGGGGACACGAAGACTGAAGTGACCACCTCCTAGCCAGGCAGGACTAGTGGAAGGAGGGGAACAACAACACATTGACAAAACTTTTGATCTAAAAATTACCCTGCCTATAAGAAATAGAGGGATAAAGAAGGAACAAAGATTGAGGGAATGTCCAACCAATAATTGGTCCAACCTGAGACCTACCCAACAGTTGAGAGCCAGCCCTTGACATTAATGATGCTCTGCTATGCTTGCAGACAGTAGCCTAACTTGACTGTCATCTGGGAAGCTCCATCGAGCAGCAGATAGAGACAAATGATGGGACTTGCAGCCAAGCATGGAGTGGAGCCCAGGGAGAGAAGTATTGGAGGAAAGATGGAAGGACCTGGAGTAGACAGGACCTCACAAGAAGACCAACAGAGACTACTAACTTTGTCCACGGAGGCTTACAGAGAATGGTCTAAGGAGCATGCATGGTCTGGACCTATCCCCTTGTACATATGTGGCCAATGGGTGGCTTAGTCTTCATATGGGGCACTTGACGAGTAGATGGGAGACAGGGGTTGCTTTTAACATGGACTCTATTGGCTGCTTTTGGATCACTTCCTCCTGGCACAGCTGCCTTGCCTGACATCAGGGGCTTAGTCCTGATGTGACTTGATGTGATGGGGAGGGTTGATATGTGGGGGGGAAAGGGAGAAGGAAAGGGAAACGTGGGGAAGGGGGAGGGGACTGGGAGGAGAGAAGGGAGGGGGGACCCTGGGGATGTAAAGTAAATAAACTGAAAGAAAACATAAAAACAGAGATGATTACTGGGATGAAAGAAAAAAGGCTGCGGGTGGGAAGGAAGAGATCTGAAAGAAGATAAGGGGGGAAAGTGAATGATATAAATAGTTTGAAACTGTCAAAGAACAAGTCTTTAAAAATGAAAAAGAGTGGAATAGGGAAAAAAAACCCACTGTAAATGATTGTTCATGACAAATCTAAAAATAAGATTATTGCCCATACAGAGAATACACACAACCACACACACAGCAACACTAAATAGACTCAGCAAATCATATTTACATATGTATGTGTTCATATATATGTATATGACAATTACAATAAAAGAACAAGATGCCATAAAATTTAAAAGGTGTTGAAGGGAAGAAAAGGAGAGGAAAATAATGCAACATTTCAATTAAAAAAAAAAAAGATGTAGTGACACAGCCTTTAAATCTTAGCACTTGGGAAGCAAAAGCAGAGACAGGCTCTGTAAACTCTGTGAGTTTAGGCTAGCCTGATCTACATAGTTCTACATAGTTCTAGGTCAGGTAGGGCAACATAATGAAGAGTCTATCTCAAAGAGTTAAAAAAAACATATAGATTTTAAAAAAATTTTGCTGCTTACAAGTCTGACAAAAAGTACTGAAAAGTATCAGGATAATCCATATCAAGGTGAGATATTTTTGCACTGTAAGTAGCCAGAAGCACAACCAGACCAAAAAGAACCTTTGAGAATATAAACAATCAAAACAACACTGCCAATAAGTTTTGCCTGACTGATACTTAAGACTGTTTTGAGCAAATCATAAGAGAGTATACATATTGATTATACCTAAGAGAATATATACATGATTCAAATACCCATAAGCATTGAACAAAAAACAATCATGTGCAGGACAATAAAGCAGGTCCTAATACATTAAAGACAAAAATACACTCCGGACATTCTGACAATTTGCGATTAAGCCAGTGTCTACTAGGAAAAGCCCAGTGTACTTTCTACATGGTTGTAATCAGACCATATGCCTTAAATCTAGAGAACAAAGAAAAAACATGAATTGACTAATAAAATATGTTCATGGAATGCAGCTAACAGTAAATTTATAGCTCATGTACAAATACTATATCAAAATAAAACTTCAAAACAGATGGTCTAAGTTTAGATCAACATGATCTAAAGTGAATGAAGGTAGAAGGATGGAAACAGAATACAAGAGTGGGAGAAATAAAAGACAAATGTATGTAGACAGGGCCACATGAAAAACTGTTGGTTCCAGAAAAAATTAATATGTCAAAACTCCTTTCAAGCTCAGGAAATAAGCAAACATAGGTAAGAAAAGTTACCGATGAAAAATCATAAAGAGCATTACACATCTCACAGAAAATAAAAAGATAACTCATGATTATCATTGACAACTATATACCCTCAATTTGAAATATTAAATACCGAATATGCATTACCTAGTAAACATAAAAGACACGTAAGTTCTAAATTATACATTAAATAAATTGATCACATAATTAAAATATTACTAAATATTTTTAGATTACATGTGTAGTTTCCTAAACAATAAAACTTCATAATAAAAAAAATCAAAAAATAATAATGCTAGTTTTCTAAAACATATTCCAGAAAGCACTGACTCATGAATATAGCACAGGTGAAAATAAAGACCCCACGCTATGTTCTTGGCAATGAAAACTACAATTATCCACTCTAAATACAGCTAAAATCCCAACAATCTAAATAGGATAAAATTCTCAAAATTTCTAAAAGAAATGAACATGTTATTTACTCAGATTACATATATTTACAAATTTTAAGGATTACTTACTTTTACTTTATGTGTGTTCTGGTATGTGTGTTGCCTCATGCATGTCTGTGTACCATATTGTGTGCGTGGTCTTGGTGCTCACAGAGGCCAGAAGAGGCCTGGAAATGGAGTTAGACTCCTGTGAGCCATGTGTGTGTTGGGAACTGACCCTGCATTCTAGTCAGTGCTCTTGACTGCTGAAACACCTCTCAGCCTCTCGGATTATATTTTTAAAAGCTGAAGCCTTTTTCCCCAGTAGTTGCTATGAAAATGTTTTATAGAGTAATGGAAAATCTTGCAGAAACATCATGAAAACCTGGAGCTGTTGTAGTTATGCACTGAACGCCCCATTTTTATTACCTCCCTGGAAGCTGGCCTATACCCATAGCCAGATGGCAAATTCTTATCTTCTTCACAGCCTTTGGCTCCAGGACTAAAGTGTAATTCCACATGAAAGCGTTCCTCTGAGGAGAGATCCTGAAACAAATGAAGGACATTTCTCCAGTGAAGAGTTTCAAGTATTTGCTTAGCTGTGGTCATACATACAAACCAAGAGCTCTCTTACCTTGTTAGGATCCTCATAGAGCATGATTACAATCTGAGTCATGTAGTTAAGTTCGTTGACAACGTTTAAATAATCCATAGCTCTTTTCCACTGCTCATCCTTTGATTCCTGAACAAAGGATTGATGGTAAGTGTTTTTCATACCTTTTCACATGAAAGTCATTTTATTACTGTTATGATAGCTTATTTAATATTGAATAATATCATACATACCAGATGAATAGAAAAACTATGACATGTTTACCATATAATGCATGATATTTTAAACTCTAAGAGTAAAGTTTTTCAAGACAATTTACAAAAGGTAGAAAAAAAACCCTCTTGAAATAAAACTTGCTACTGAATTATAAAAGAATAGCTTTTTAATATTCTAAGTCTGAAAGTACCTAGCAGAGTGTTATGCCTCATAATACAGAACATTATCTTCAAAGACTACTACTTCTTTCCCCAAAATACTATAGTCCAAGCCTGCAGCATATGTCTTTGAAAAAATATCCCCTTTACACTGCAGTGATTCTACAATAATCAGCATGAGAAGACATATATAAATTCAATTGATCTTATCACCTCCTTCATTATCTATGCATCTTACTTTAGAAAATCAATGATATTCACACATGTAATCAGGGCACCAGAGTTGAAAGGAACCATTCATAACAGAAAGAGAACACCTTAGGCAGAAAGCACTACCTGAAAGACAACTCAAAGCACAGAGCCTGTGTGAAGACAGCGAGGTCTAATATAAACCTTCCAAACATCACAGGAAAGCTTTCCTCATTGTCCATATATACCAAATATTACAAATACAGAGGCAGTCATCAGTTTTCTAGTACATAAAGAGGGTGTACACTAGTGTTCTAGTACATAATAGCATGGACTTTAGCATAGGAATGTCTTCTATTCTAAAAGAACAGAATTATGAAACTACACTCTGACTGGTCACTTCTGCATAGAGTATACTTCGTTTTTATTTCAGAAAAGATAGATCTCAAAATTAAGGCAATGCCTAGAATGAAAAACCACACCTGAATGTGTACACAGGTTGTGGAGGTAAGATTTGCAAAGGTCTGTTCTTTTCAAAACTGATAAAGGAAAACAAAAACTAGCATTGCTTTTTAAGTGATTAGGTGTCAGTCTATAGAAATGATGAGTTTAAATTAAAGATTTTTAATTTCTTTGGGGAAAAGATAAATTAGGGCTTTGTGGTACTGTATTAAGAATAGCACATAATTTCAGGGTTGCAATTAGAGACATCTGCAGCAATGAACACATAAAATTAAGTAATTTTTAGTAATATTTTCTTAAATGCAATTATGGAAGAAGCCATAATAGTCTATTGTTATTAAAGCTACCAGATCATTTTAGTAATTTTATTTCCATTAAAAAACCTTTAAAAATGTTCATTTTCATGTGGTTCATTCTGAGTAATCCAAAATTTCAACTGAGAAGAGACTGGTGAAGGTCTCAGTATATTACTTATAAATCCTTCCAGTCACAGGTTTTGAATATTGAACTAGAGCAGTGCAAGCTCTAGTTGCACTGCTGGTGTCTTATTCAAACTGCATCACGTGTAATAGTGCTCTCACCATTTTCCTATTATTTACTTGCCTACCTCCTGTCTGCAAAGCAACAAAACATTGCAAGTCCTTTTAGAACACAAACCGCCATTTTCAAACCTGACATGGTTCATGCTGTATTTATGTTGCAGCACAAGCTTCCTATTGTTCCTGCTTTTCCTCATTCATGTGCTCTTTTCTAAACATGCACACGAAGGTATAAAAGACCATGCCAGACATGTAGCTGTTACTCCCAAAGCAGTAGCATAACTACCACTGGATATACAATTTCTTCTGTTGCTTAATTAGGGTCTTGTTCATTCAGTGTCTTTTACTAAAGCTCTACTAATCCACATAGATATGTAAGGAGGCCACTTTTTACTATTTCTTGTTTTCTTTCTGGAAGTAGTGGTTGAACCTAAGTGCTAGACAAGCACTACACAGCCCTAGCCCTCTGAGTGTAAGAGGCTAGAAGTTTCTAGCCAGGCCATGTGAGGCCAATGCCTCTGCTTCTTCATGGTAGTACAAATGTGAACAGAACACTGAACTGTAAACCAACAGCTTCATACTGCCTGTATCACAGCCATAAGCCTCTTGAACCAGGTCAGTCTTCCTTACCATGGAGGGCTGTACCCTCTCAAGACCTAAGACAAAATAAACCTGTTAGTTGGTCAGAGGCTCTGTTGAAACAACTGCATAGCACAGGATGGCTGGGATCACAGGTGTCAGCGATCATGTCCAGCTCATCATATGGTTCTTCTCTGAAGGAAAGTAAACTTGTCTCTCTTCTCCAAACCTACCAAAATGCTTATACTCTCAAAAAATGATAAATAATGAAAATAGAGCAGATCACCACAATTGACAGTAAAAAAGAAAACAACAAAAGCAAACCAAAAGAAAGAAAATCAGTTAGTGATCTGAGTACAGACTCTCAAAAAAAGCATTTGTCAGTTAGGCTGGAATGACCTGTACACTCACATCGCATAAGGCACCATAGCGAAGAATGGATAGTAAGGAATGCACATGACTTTCACTGGTAAAATATAACCTGGTACGAACATGCCGCTCAGGAGACAGAACACCTCTAGAATACCTAGAATTAGAAGCAGATAGTGTGAAAATGTAAACATGTAGTCAAAAGCATATGAAAAACCAGGAAAACAATTTTATAAAATGGAAGCAAAGCCCCATCATAAATAAATTTATCATTCTTCATACTACAACTGGGAGTCATTGATAGATATTCTTTTAATTAGAATAAAGTAGCCCTCTGAGAATAGTAAAAACAAAACAAAAAACCAAAACCAAATAACACCCCCCCCCAAAAAAAAAAACAACAAAAACAAAAAGCACAGAACAGCATTACTTTACTGGAAAAGATCAAGTTAACTCCTCTAATAGCAATAACAGAGGTATCCAGAGACAGTAATGCCTCCCAATGCGGTTCACACTGATCAGAACAGATAATTAATGAAAAATATCATCCTATCCCATTTCCCTTGGCTTTCCCCATCTGGCAACCCAACAAAATCTTGGCTGAGCCTGGGGTATGTGACTCTAAAGCCAGAACATGGGTAAAAGCAAGATTGTAATACTGATGTTAGCTGTCATAACAAGAGATATCCACTATCTTAGGGATGCAGGCCAGTGACAGAGCACATGCCTATGGCACGTTTAAGGCCTCAATCTTTCCCCTGTCACAGCCCGAAAAGAGTTCTAGTTAAAAGGTAATGAATAGGAATACCTAAGTAGTCCTATTCCTGTCATGTGTCAAGTGACACACTCTTGATTTCTGCATGAACCAACAAATATTTTAGATTTGAAATACACAAAACTAGATGCCTAGGAATGCGAACAGCTGCTATGCTCTCTTACAAAGGATGGAGTTTATTGACAGTGTCATCATCTTGTGTCCTCTGAAGATCGGATCGAATTTTTCTAACTAGAGGAGTGCAGTAGCCTTTGGCGATCTCCAGTTTTTCAGCTTTAGTTATACCATATTCCTGAGAAAAATTAAAACAAAACAAAACTTAAATTAGAAGAAAAGCTCTAATACACAGTTGTAGCACATGCACTCCTGAAGTAAAGAATTATCATGTGGCTCAAACATTACAATAAAGCTTTTAAAAATAGACAACTCTTAGTTTGCATTTCTTTGCAACTACAAATATATTCTTTTCAAGCAAGTAAGTGTAATTAGAAGAATTGTATGGAGGAATTGAAAAAAGTTAACTATAAAAAGGGAAGGGTGAATGAATGCAAACTTTATGACTAGTCTTCCTTTCATCAGAAGGCTTAAAATATGAAAACAATTTTAAGACAAAAACTTGAGGTCAGAGATTTTAAAACCAGACACATAGATAATTACCATTAAAAGAAGTAAAACTAAGAGCATCCTAACATCAAAGTTCAAAATGCCTGACAGATTTTTTAAAGCTTCCTTTGGCAAGCTAGTAGTGATGGAGTATGCCTATAATCCCAGCAGTTGGGAGGCAGAGGCAGGTGATAGATGTTTGTGAGTTTTAGGCCAGACTGGTCTACATGAGTTCCAGAACAGCTAGGACCACAACACAATAGGTCCAGTCTCAAAACAAAACAAAAACAAAAGAAAACAAAACAAAAACCCAAAACCTTTGACTAATTTTAAGTTGTTTTTTTGTTGTTGTTGTTTTAACAAGTTGTAATCAAAGATGTGAGTAAAAAAAAAAAAAAATCAGGGAAAATTGTTTGGAAATTTGATTTAGGAAGTTACACATAAATGTAAACTATCATGCACTGTGGAAATCCTAAAAATGGTTAGAATCCTAGAGTTATAAGTATGTTAAATGTGTAAAAAAGTGAAAGAAATAAAACAAATCTACTTTTCCAAATAAGAAGTTTGTTAAGTTAGGTTATGTTCATTCTAATCAGCAAATTGGAATAACACTAATAATGGCTACCTTTATCCAGCAATGAGCACTCTGAAAATACTTGCTACATAATTAGGAAAGTACCCCAAGGGTAACTTACCTGAGGGATAACAATGTCTGCTAATGCCTTTGAAAGCCTATAGAGTTCCATTGTATTTTCTAGCTTCAAGGAACCATTATGCTGAACGTCATACTTGATGCAATCATATATGTCGGGAATCTTACTAATATCATATCTCCCATTTTTTGTTTTAAAGTCTTTCTCCAACTTGGACCATCTACGTAGCATAAGTTCCAGTGTCTCACTATGGTACAGCTGAATATCTAAGAAAACATACAATTTTTAGTATATCCATGTTAACAATCTGATTGGGAATATATATTAACATTTATTTGTATTCTGTTTAGCTCTCGCTGGCCTGGAACTTCTTGTTCTTCTGGTTCAGCTTCTCTGAGGCTGTGATTATAGCATGTGCCTCCATGACTGGCTCTCTATAAACAGAAAAACTTTACAGAGAAGAAGGTAAAGCTCTAAGAAGCTAGAAAGTACTACTATCCGCATAGACCATTAACAACTACATGGTTTTAGGCTTGGATAAGTACTTAGCACAAGTACTTGGATTAGGAGCCTGATTTATTTATGAGACCCATTCCATATATTACAGATTTTGATAACAATGAAAAGAAAAACACCAAGAATATAGCAAAACTCTCTGAATATGCTTTCTATTCTAAAATTTAAATACCTTATTCCTTAAATTGCTATGACTAAACAGAATAAGCACACTATCTTTTGCAGAAAATACCTCGTAGATATTAAAAAGTTTAAAATACCCATTTTCATCACCAAGAAATTTAAGCTGTCAATGATATCAAGCTAGCTTGGAAGCAGACTTCTCAGTGTCTATCTTTGCTGCCTGTTCTCTGCTCACTATCTGGGGATGCTAAACAACTAGACTATTTCACTGTCTTGTTCTTACTATCATGGATAAAATGACTGTAACCTAGCTATTATTCCTTGTTGGATAAATCCATACCATCTATACCCATATGCCAAGAGAAAAGCTTGAGATTGTTAAGAGTTACACATCTTATTTCAAATGCTTAGCAAAAAATGACAGTACCTTCTGTTCAACATTCTAAGAAAAAAATACTTGCCAGATGATTTGGGATCTTCCATCCGATGTCTGATTTGGGAAGTCAAACTTTGAATCAAGGAATAAACTTTGTCACAGGTTTTCACTGGATTTTTAATTAAATGCATTGATTTGATAACAGAAATGCTTCCAGATGGAGTAAGCTACAAATGAATAAGTGCTTTATTTCAGGTTATGTCCCATTATCCAAGAGAACAAACACAAAATTTTCCACAGCTGGGAAAATAATTACATTCTATACATTAAGATATTTAACACAGAGTAATACTATCAACAGGGATGTGAAAGTCTCAGAAACTCAAGTTAAAACAAATTTAAGCTTTAACTATAATTAGATTACCTACAGAAAAAATCAGAAGTACTCTAAACTAAAGGATGAGATGTGATGAGAATTTGGTGATTTGTATATTATGTGCAAATGTGGTTCTAACCACTTGACATGTTTCTACTTGTAATTTTACTACACATTTATGATCATCATGATCACCTTCTCCCTGATGAGTTACTTAACTGAGGTTAAGTAGTTTGCATAGACTAAGTACCAAGCATATGAAGGAACAGGATTCAATCACAGGAAGGCTGGTTGCAGAACTCATAGTGTTAACCACTATGCTATTATACTTTGTTAATGAGGCTTTTTCAATTCAGCAAAAGCTGAATGGTACCAATTATAAATTCAACTTTTAACATTCATCTCCAATTATCCCACAAAAAATTGAAAAGAGAGGAAACATTCCAAATTCATCCACAAGACCAGCATTTCCTTAATATCAAGACCAGACAAGTAAGAAGGAAGTAGTGAAAAGGAGGCAGAGCAAGGCAGGGAAAAAAGAAGGAACATTACAGGTTTATATTGTGATAAATAAATGTAAACTCTTCAATAAAATGCTGGCAAATCAAGCACAACAGAACATCAAAAAACTATACGCCATCATTACATTAGGGGAGATTTATTCTACGAATATGAGGATGGGTCAATATATGTAAACAATAAACAACATAGTACATCGACCTCAATATCACTGCCTACCTGAGTAGGGGGAGAGAAAACATCCAAACAAGGAGGGGTATGTGGGAAAGTATGGGGAGAGGAAAAAGAAGGGGGAAATGATGTAATTATAAAATAATCTCAAAATTAAAATAAGTAATAGAAACTATACAGCCATTAACAGTAAAATCTTTATAATTTCAGTACTGGAGGAACTAATTTTAACATACTAAATGCTGTGTATATTTAACTTAGCCAACATCATACCAATCAGGGAAAAGCTCAGAGTTTCCTCTAAGAACTGGAGGAGGGAAAAAAAAAAACCACCACTTCACTATTGTCAGCATAGTTCTAGAGTCTTACTTAGCCAGTGCAATTAGGGAAGAGAAAAAAAGTAAAAGGTGAGCTACAAATAGAAAGGAAGAAGAAAAATTATCCTTCTTGTAGATTACATTATTCTATACACAGAAAATCCCATGACATCATCCAGTAAGCCAGGTATGACAATGACTTATGTCAGCAAGCGCAGCTACTCTGAAAGCTAAATTAGGAGATTCCCAAGGAAAAGAAAAGCCTGAGGAATAAAGTAAATTCTCATCTGAAGAAAAAGAAAAAGACAAAAACACTGCACAGAAACTTAAAAGAATGTTAGGCCTGATCAGTTTGGTTAAGCTGCAGGAGGGTCAAGATGCAATAATCAGTAGCATTTCTGTGTTATAAATAGTGAGGTGGTTAAGAGTCTAAGAGGGCAACCAAATTCAGAGAGAGACAATATCTAAATAATGACTCAGAGGACCAATGAAATAGATCTGCGACAGAAAAGCTGATCATGAAAGAAAGAAGGTACAATACTATGAATAAAAATTCCTACAGATTCTACACACACTGCCAAGACCCTAGATGGAGTTAGAATCGATTCTATATGCATATAATAGTAGAAATGCAGACCTAACTGAAACGTGCTAAACTAGTTTTTAGTTCCATTAATTTTACAAAAGAAGTTTTCATAGTATTTAGTAGTAATTGATCATTGAGTACTATTTATTACTTAGTAGTAATTCCACAGTATTTAGAAAAAAAATGAAGTAATTGTTCACAAACTACTTCCCAAATAGGGAAGAATTTTCTCACCAGTTTTTTTTTTTTTTTACATCAGACTAGCATATCACTGACATGGAAATTAAGATTTAACTATAATGAAGAAGTAAAGGCTGATCAGTCCATGACTATAGACCCCAAACTCCAAAGCATAAAATTTGTAAACTCAAATTAATACTATAAAAAGTTAGCATGTTAAAAAAAAGAGGTTTTTTTTTTTTTTTTCTTCCTCAGACTGATATTCCAACCAAGGACTATGCATGGAGATAACCTAAGACCCCTGCACAGATGTAGCCCATGGCAGTTCAGTATCCAAGTGGGTTCCATTGTAATAGGAATAGGGACTGTCTCTGACATGAACTGATTGGCCTGCTCTTTAATTACCTCCCCCTGAGGGGGGAGCAGCATTACCAGACCACAGAAGAAGACAATGCAGCCATTCCTGATGAGACCTAATTGACTAGGATCAGAAGGAAGGAAAAGAAGTCCTCCCCTACCAGTGGACTTGGGGAAGGGCATGCATGCAGAGGGTGGAGGAAGGGAGGGATTGGGACAGGAAGAGGGAGAGAACCACAGGGGGGATACAAAGTGAATAAAGTGTAATTAATAAAGAAAAAAAAAGGTAAGGATATTCTAGGCCCAAAGTACTTTCATGACAAAAACTTAGAAAAAAAGGACCATGTATAATTCCATTACTTTTTAAAAAGATAATTTCAAAACAAAAACAATGACAAAAAACCAGAGAAAACTTCAAGACTAATAGACAAGTATTAAATCTTCCTCTAGGAGAATGTGAGCAGAAAAGCAACTGCTATGTTTTTTTTTTTTTTTTTAATTTCAAATTTAGGTTTATTAGGTCTGGTCTGGTTTTTAATTTTTTTTTAAATTTTATTTATCTTTTTATTAATTACACTTTATTTACTTTGTATCCCCCCAGCAGTTCCCTCCCTCCTCCCCTCCCAACCCCTCCCTTCCTCCTCCTTCTCCACACATGCCCCTCCCCAAGTCCACTGGTAGGGGAGGTCTTTTTTCCTTCCTTCTGATCCTAGTCTATCAGGTCTCATCAGGACTGGCTGCATTGTCTTCCTCTGTGGCCTGGTAAGGCTGCTACCCCCTCAGGGGGAGGTGATCAAAGAGCAGGCCAATCAGTTCATGTCAGAGACAGTCCCTCTTCCCATTACTATGGAACCCACTAGGAGACTGAATTGTCATAGGCTACATCTGTGCAGGGATTCTGGGTTATCTCCATGCATGCTACTTGGTTGGACTATCAGTTTCAGGAATGACCCATGTGCTCAGATTTTTTGGATCTGTTGCTCTCCTTGTGGACCTCCTGTCCCTTCCAGGTCTTACTAACTCCCATTTCTGGCGCGTTCTAAGACAACTAGGAATAGCACTTACTCAAGATCCAGCCATACCACTTCTAGGCATATATCCAAAAGAGGCTCAAGTACACAATAAGGACATTTGCTCAACCATGTTTGTAGCAGCTTTATTTGTAACAGCCAGAAGCTGGAAACAACGAAGATGCCCCTCAACTGAGCAATGGATACAGAAAGTATGGTACATCTACACAATGGAATACTACTCAGCAATAAAAAAAACAAGAAAATCATGAAATTTGCAGGTAAATGGTGGGAACTGGAAAAGATCATCCTGAGTGAGCTATCCCAGAAGCAGAAAGACACACACAGTACACACTCACTCATACAGACATATAATATAGGATAAACCTACTAAAATCTGTACTCCTAAAGAAACTAATCAAGAGGGAGAACTCTGGCTAAAATGCTCAATTCCCACTCAGAAAGGCAAAGAGGATGGACATCAGAAGGAGAAAACAGGGAACAAGTTAGGAGCCTGACACAGAGGGCCTCTGAAAGGCTCTGCCCTGCAGAATATCAAAGCAGATGCTGAGACTTATGACCAACCATTGAGGAGATTGCAGGAAATCTTATGAAAGAAGTGGGAGTTAGCAACTGCTATTTTTAAGGCAGATGTGGTAGTATATCCCTTCAATCCCAGCCCTCGGTGGTGGGGGAGCAGTCAGGCAGTAGATTGAATACTCTTCAAGGCCATGAGTAAGAACCCCTTCTGTTCAGTATTGCTTGTAGAATTGTAAGCATTAAAGTAAAGCAAGGAAAAAAAAATCAAAAAATACAAAGACTTGGAAATAGCTTAGATTAATGTTATACTCTTACTAAAACTATACTCTGACATAAAAACAATCAAAGAACAACAAACATTTTCAAATAATATCCAAAACAACTCCATTAAAAAAAAACCATTTACCTCAGCTTAAGTCTAAGAGGAATAAGAAATACTGTGCAGTAAGTTGAATTGGAAAATGTTATTTAAAATCTTAATGGATCTAAATAAATGTGCTATATATTTTTGTATATTGAGAGACTAGATGCAAACTTGTACAAGCCATGAAAATGTAGATTTCATGCAAGCTAAATAAAAATAACAATAATATTTTTAATAAGCTTATTTTAAAGCTTCTGTGGAAATTTGAGAAAAGCCAAAAAACAATCAAAGAGGAGTCTGTGTAGAAGGCACAGGATTTTAAACTGTGATTCAGGAAAGTAGGGAGAGAAGCCTCTTTAGGTAGTGCTAAATATAAATATAATTAAAGGAGAAAAATAGATTTTGACATACAAGATCATAAAATTCAGATCATAAAGTAGAATACAGTATGACTTTAGTTAGAAAAACACTAACTTCAAAGGAAATAAGAGCTTAAAATTAATGGAAAATATGAATATATGCTTATTCAAAAGCATCATTAAGATTGATAGGATTTCATCAGGAACAGGAACATAAACAACCAATGAGAACTCATCATTCAATAAGAAAAACATGGGCATCAGCAGAGAAAAAGAAGAAGATATTTAAGGAGAACTCATGAAAAAAAAACGATATCTAAGCAGTCAGTTTTAAAGAAATGGGAAAGTATAATGTAGACTTACCTACCAGAATGATCAAATAATCATTAATCTAAGAGTTATTAATCAAATAATCTAAGAGTCTTATAAGTGAAGAACACAATTGCAATGGCAGCTTTCACCCTTCATGGGTCTTAAGTGGCTTACACTCTGGAAAACAGTCTGACTTTATCCAGTAATACTAGATGAGTACATCCTGCTTTGCATCTTCACTTTTAAAATACAGAGAAACAGGGTCTCCTCAGAACCATGAGGTGTGCAAAGATGTTCATGCAAGAATTAATCCTAACAGCCCCAAATTGCAACCAGTTGAAAGCATCATAAACTAAAGAATGTTCATAAAATAAATTATGAGACAGGGAAGTAAGTTCTTCAGGTCAAGTAGGGTTAGTGTTGTCAGTGATGTAAGCCATTCACACACACACAAAGAGAGAGAGAGACAGAGACAGACAGACCACAGTTGGCATTATGATATTTAATATTGTCAAGTTGATGAGATCTATAATCAGCTGGGCAGTAGTCTCTGAGCATGTTTGCAGGCTTAGCTAAGTTAACTGAGCTAAGATAGCCACTGCAGAAGTAGATACCACCATTCCCTAGGCTTGGTTTAGTCCTGGGCTATATACAAAAGGGAGAAAGTGCTAAGGATAGACGTTCACTGGTACCTGCTTCTAGACTGTGAATGCAATGTGGTCAGCTGCCTCAAGTGACTGCTGCTGTGACGTCATGGCCACAATGGGCTGGAACTTTGAATTGTGGACCAATTAGACCCTTCTGTCCCTAAGTTACTGCTGTCAGGATAATTTACCACAGCAAAAGGAAAAGTAACCTCAACAGGCTCACAAAACATAAAATAATTATTATTTGATTTTTTTTATATAGAAAATATACCAGTCCCTTAAATACACTACTATATAGAGAAGATTATTAATGGCCTATGTAAACATGAAAATAACAGCAGCACAGATGAAGCTGACAAACACAAACCGAGGAAAGAACTGCCGAGGCCTACCTTTTCATAATCTTCAGCTGTAAAATCTCTGTCTTTTTGAAGAATTTCATGAAGCCTTGCTTTTACACGCTGCTGACAGTTACTCAAAGAGTCACTGTCACTGTCCAAAAGGCCATTCATATTTGCACTTTTCACCATCTGAACAAGAATGGGGGTAAGCTCCCCTTCTAGAGCCAACAGACCCTAAGAATGAAACAGAGTCAATGGTTTACATATATGTACAATCACAGGCCATCACGATACCTTTATGAGATGCATGCATAAGCTACTCATCACAGGTCAACTTTACTAATAATATATTTCATCGTTGTCAGTAATGGCTTTAACTGGAATTTACAGTAATTATAAGGTTGCTTATACCTTTGCAAAAGCAGCTGCAGTCATTTGGACCCGCCCTTCGTCAGAAGCGTATATCTTGAGGTCATGTCGGTAGGTGCTATGCAGTCGGAGTAAACCACAACCAGGAAATCCTGCATAATCTCCTGAAAATAAGTCCTCACATCACTTAAGCTATGTTTCGGTTTTGTGGTACTTTCGCAAATGCTTAATAATATCACAAGGTAAAAGTAAAGTATACAGATTTAATCAAATTATAGCACTTACCTTGACCTCCAGGGTACATACACCTAAAAGCTCTTCCCAGCTCTTCAGCCTGAACCCTGCCCGCAGGAGTTAATTCTCCTCCCCATTTTAGAACCAAAAGTAAGGACGGCTCCTCTCTTCGGTTATCTAAGATAGACATGAGTGATAAAAAAAAAAAAAAAAAAAAAAAATGTTTAAACAGGTCTCTGTACTAGTCTTTACTCAGGGCTCTCTGAATTGTGGAATTTGACCCATTTCTAAATTCTCTAAAGGTGCCTGGTTGTGGCCTGTTGACTCCATCAGGACTGTCCTTTTCTCTACCAGTAAAGATCTGACTTGAATTTTAAAATCACTTTCAGCAAGGAAGCAGGATCTTCATGTTCTGCAAAGAACTATCCTCTCTCTCTTCCTGGCCCTTATAGCAGATTTTATAGCATATTTAATTCCTTTGTGCTACCACTGTTAGGCCGTGAGCTCCCTGGTACCAGGGCTCAGGTCTCATTATATCAAGTGCTTTCTGATGTGTTATCATATCGCATGAATTGCAGAGTACAAGTGCAGAAGATACACAACTTATTCTTATTGGAAATCAGTAACTTGGATAATAATTAAGATGCTAACCTCTAACATTTTTATTTAAAGTTTATGAAAACTTAATAAATTTTTAGTAAAACCTAGTCAAGACCAGCTTTTTCAGTTAGGTGGAACAGGCTCTCAAATTCCACTTCAAAATCTTTGCTTAGACACAAAGTCACCATATGTGAGCTTCAGTATTTAATTTTGACCTGCCCTTTATCATTGCTTTAAGGTTTGCAGATATAGAGTGTTAGGGAAAAAAGGTCATTTAAAAACAATTGCTGGTCACATTGCTACATGCCTGTGATCCCAGCACATGAAAAGTGGAGGCAGAAGGATTACTATAGTTTCAAAGCCATCCTGACCTACATAGCAGTGCCAAGACAGGCAGAGTAGCCAGAGATCCTGTTCAAACAAGCAAACCAACACCTGCCCCCATGCAGAACAAGTATTACAAGCATGAAAGGAATTACTGATGACTCATTATAACAGAAAAGCGGCCTTGCCCTGAGGAGAGTTAGATGCCATGTGTGCTTTACTATGCAGGTTGGTAATAATGTACAACAGAACATTTCACAGATGGTTTTGTTATATCTCTCCCAGAACATTTTGATCATAATACCAATACAGGAAATAAACCCATATTGTTCTTCATCACAAAGAGTGCAAATATTAACTACATAAAGCTAAATGTATTCAAACTTGTATTTATGTTTAAGATAATCAAAACTTCAACACATGCTGGTATAGTGAAATAGCACAAAAGCTTAGTCTTCCTCTAATCACTTGTTTACCTCCTGAGAAAAAAACTTTTGAAAGTAGAATTAAGGTCAAAGCACAAACCAGGTGTTGAGTTTTTAATATGAATTGCTGACTTTCTTTTAAAGGTGTGTCTATTTACATGTCTTCCAGCAGATTGATATGCTGTCACTATATAATCTTGATTACCAATTTAAAAATGAAACTAAGAAAGCATTCTATCAGTATGACAGGTAAGAGAAACCATTAGGTTAGAACATACTTAATCTAAACATCTAAAATTCATAAGGTTCTAGCACTTTTGAATAACTAACATGATGTAACAAAATTCCTCACAAGGAAATTCTTCGTATGTACAAAATCATTTAAAATATGGTATAGTTATATGCAAGATACACATAAGGTACATATGAAACATATACGGTTTCCTATCTCTAACACACATACACACATACAGAAATGTTCTATACTAAAAATGTAAGATTTTACAAATAGGATCTAGAGTTAATGGACAAGGGATATTCTGCCTGAATTGTTAATATGCATGGAAAAGCTGCTCCAATCTTGTTTGTTTTTCTTTCTGATTTTATGCTTTTAGGAGACCAATCTTATCTAGGTACACACTGGATTGAACTTTCACATTTAGAATGAAGTATCAAGCTCCTATAGAAACACGTTGGTGATGTGGACTTTCCAGTGTCTTTCTTCAGACATTTTAAGTTTTTTTTTTCCTGTATACTCTGTCATCTCCCACCAAAACCAGAAATAAAATAAAATAAAATAAAATATAATAAAATAAAAAAATAAAAATGGGATCTACTAAGATACCTGAAAAAGCCATAATTATTCAATCAACTATTTACCCAGCCACACAAAAAACTTATAATACATGTAATTCCATGTATAAACATATATAACTTTACTGATCTTTTTTCATTAGGGTTGATGATGCTCCCTCCAAGAGTCAAAAACCATCTAACAAGAGCCTCAATATCAGACATGAGAAGCCCTTGTTTGATCTGTTTGCCAAAGCTGTCTAACAGACTTCTAAAACATATAGCCTATTGCTGTTGTCTTTGGTTACCCTTCAGAGGTGGATGGTAAGGCCTTATTGCTGAAGACACCATGCACTTCAGATGCAGGGCCTAGAGACTCCTGGGCTGGAACTGACCTCAAAGACACTTAGGAACTAGCTTTCATGGTATAAGAAGGCCATGGAAACTTCCAAAGGAGGGAGGCAACCAAAAGTCCAACCCAGTAATGACACCTATGAACCACATCAATAACTGGCATGTCACAGCAACACTGTGGGTACAGTAGTGGCATGCACACCTGGTGGTAACCAACAGCTTTTTCATTGTACTTAAGACCTGCTCAACAAGAGAGATCCCATGGCCAGTACTGGAAACACAGTTAACTCTTCAGTGCTAGTAAAGTCATAGCTGGTGGAGGGCAATCCACAACTGCTAATTTATTATACCAGCATACCCCTAACAGTCTATAAACCTGC